ATTCATATGTGTGTGTGTGTGCGTGCGTACGTTTTCTTAATTTTTCGTGGATACTTAACATGTATGGTATTCAGCTTTGTTTGGGTATTTTTCCACGTCATTATAGTTGTGCTTTTAAAGTTGTAGCAACGTTTCGGCAGAATCTCATCTGCCATCATCAGGCTTCTGTATTGCATTCATCTGTGAGTCAGGCTTTCACAGCCGTTTCTGTTTTAAATTTGGTGCTAGCCTACTGCTGTGCCAGAATGGTTTTTTCTTCATCCTGATTGGTTGGGAGTCTCAGTCTGTGTTTATTGGTCTTGGAATTTGCTGTGTTCTGCTTGATTGGTGTTTCTAATATTTTCTGTCTGTTTTGTGGCTTTTTTTGGCTTGATTGGCTGGCAACATTGTGTTTCTGTATTGGAGGCTTTTAGTGCAGCTTGGCTCCGAGTAAATGGACGGCTATCATTTTTTAGGAAGCTGGGTTTCATCTGGGTGCCTGGTTGGGGTGTGTTTGAGCTGGAGGTATCAGGGGAGAGTCTGTTTGTGCCCAGGTGTTTGCCTGGCTTGTTGGTGTGGAGATTTTTTTGTTTGAGAGTGCAGGCTTCCAAATAATTGACAGTCTGGTGGAATCATCTCTTCTCCACCAGACTGTCAATTATACAGGAACACAATGCTGCCAGCCAATCAAGACAAAAAAGTCCACAAAACAGACAGAAGATATTAGAAACACCAATCAAGCAGAACACAGAAAATTCCAAGACCAATAAACACAGACCAAGACTCCCAACCAATCAGGATGAAGAAAAAACTATTCTGGCACAGCAGTAGGCTAGCCCCAAATTTAAAACAGAAACGGCTGTGAAAGTCTGACTCACAGACGAACACTATACAGAAGCCTGATGATGGCATATGAGGTTCTGCCGAAAGGTTGCTACAACTTTAAAAGCACAACTATAATGACGTGGGAAAATACCCAAACAAAGCTGAATACCTTATCCTTAATAAGAACAGGGGTAAGTTCTATTTTTGAACCAATTATTTCTTGCAGCCAGATCCTTATTTTATTCCAAAATTTCTTTGCTTTAGAACAGGACCATCACATATGAAAGAAAGTACCTCGTTTCTTTTTACATTTCCAATATACCAGGTTCAAATTTGGGTAAATTTTGGCCAATCTCGCTTAAAACTTAAGGTTTCATAGGAGTTAAGAGACAAAGCGAGGAAGGGAAAGGCAGAAAAATACCCAGAAGATGCAACTGCTTCCTGGGACTCCAGAAAAAATGAGGGAAAAGGATAGCTAGGCAAAAACAGAGGCCAAAATCCAATGGGATCTCAAGGAACATACTATACTTGAAGCAAATTTCCATGAACTGATGAAAATATAAATTTCCAGGCAAATTTTCAAGGGCTTCAGGTCAAGAGCGATGCAAAGATTGGGTACTTTTGTGTGTGCAAGTCAGGCTGGGTGCACTGTGAGTTCTAGCCCCACCTTAGGCATGAAAAGTTGGGCCAATTAGCAGGAGACGGTTAGTTCTAGTTCCACTTTAGGCATGAGAGTGGCTGGGTGACTGACCAATCACAAGTTCTAGTCCCACTTTAGGCATTAAAATGGCTAGGGGACTTTGGCCATTAGCAGGCGACGGTGAGTTCTAGTCCCGCCTTAGGCATGAGAGTGGCTGGGTGACTTTGGCCAATCACAAGTTCTAGTCCCACTTTAGGCATGGAAAGTGGCTAGGGGAGTTTGGCCAATCACCAGGCAACAGTGAGTTCTAGTCCCGCCTTAGGCATGAGTGACTGGGCCAATCACCAGGCAACAGTGAGTTCTAGTCCCGCCTTAGGCATGAGTGACTGGGCCAATCACCAGGCGACAGTGAGTTCTAGTCCTGCTTTAGGCATGGAAAACTGGCTAGATCATTTTGGGCCGGTCCCTCTCTCTAAGCCCAACCCACCACACAGGACTGTTTTTGTGGGGCAAATAGGAGAATGTTGTATTTAGGCATGTTTGCTAGTTTATTTTTAAAAGTAAAAAAGGTAAGTTAAAAAAAAATCTAATAAAATGAATTTCTATCCGGCCTTTGCAGCAAGATTAAGGCAGACCACAGCATCCCCATCTGCCGTGTTTTTTCCTGACCATAACCCTGGGACATCCATTGGGCGGAGTGATTATCTGAAGTCCCCAAGGAAGTCTATATGGCTGAAAGTGGATTTTACTCTGGTTCTCTCTCTCTCTCTCTCACACACACACACACGCATGCACATTCAAAGTCACATCAAAAAGCCACCTTGCTCACACTGTATGAAAGTGAAGAGCCTCTTACTAGTGATTTTATTGAGCTGACAGACAGACCAGGGGTCCCCAAACTTGGTAACTTTAAGACTTGTGGACTTCAACTCCCAGAACAGCTGGAAAATTCTGGGAGTTAAAATCTACAAGTCTTAAAGTTGCCAAGTTTGGAGACCTCTGAGATAGGCTAACATGGACTTCTCTTCCGAGATGGCACCCAGTTCTTCACACCTAAAAACAGTTAAGCTCGCGTTTGATATTTAGGACTCTCTTTTTATGCCGAGCTTGCCAGCAGAGTCTTCCCACCAAAACACCACACGAACAAAAAGAGAGAATTAAAACTTTTATTAGTGTATTCACATATTAGGCAAATGCAACACAGATGAAAAGCTTCGCTCTTCAGTCTTACAAGTTCTTACCAATACACGAGGCTACTGGTAAAACTACACGAATTGGTTAACTCTTTGCCCATTTCTTCTGAATTTGGCCTGGCCCACACTTGAGTTTCCACCCACCCTCCCACCGGCGCCTATTTTTTATTTATTTTATTTTTTTTAACTTTTTTGGTATTGCTCTTATGCCCTATTTTTTCTTACGGCATAAAAATAACATAAAATAAAACCCCTCGTTGCCTTTCAGGTTCAGGCAAGCCGATTGCAAAGCTTAACACTGGCCAAACATTAGTTGTCAAAAGCTAGAATTTCCACTAGATGTACTTACAAAGTACAAGACTAGTGCAAAGTAACCTTTTTTGGGGGGGGGGGGGACCAGGAGGAGAGAAGTGGCAGGGAGGGGTGGCGAGAAGGAAAGAAACAAGACGGAAAGGCAATCCTGCTACTGCCACGATGAGGAAGACAGGCAGCTAAGATCACAAGATGGTTAGTAAGATGGATAGTTTTCAAGTCAGAAGAACCCTTCTGTACAGCTTACCCAACCCAGACCTATCTGTAGAATATAATTCCAAAAAAAAAAATTTTTTTTTTTTAAAAAAGCAAGGCCCAGATGTAGGAGTGTCCCAAGATTCACCCTAACATGTACTGTGGAGGTTGTTTCCTTTGGCCAAGCAATAAGCGACCCACAGAGGCAGCCAAGATCCTATCGTGGACGCTCAGGGCTCTATTCTATCGTCCCCCGTCCCCCCCAAAAAAACACCCTTTGGTGAAATGCCCCCTTTATACAAACCCACCCAGAAAGCCTGTTTCACCATCTGCAAGAAGGCCCTGGGGGCTTACGGAGCTGCCAAACAGGGAAATGTGAAGCAGGGAATCTCCTCTCCAAAGAAACGGGAGGCGTGGTGGCCTCGCTTCTCCTCCTTGTGCCCTTCCTTCTCCCCGGACTCCAGCTGTTGCAAAAAGAAACCTCGGGGGAAATGACAGGAGAAAGCAGTCACCTGTTTGGCCTTCCCCTTCGTCGATTGGATTTAGAAGCCCAGCAAGCAAACACGTCATAAAAGTACTCTTTTCAGGGAAGTAGGCAACCTTTGCAGGTCCACTGTTAACACCCAATGTGTATTATTAGACCAGAGGCCTCCAACTTCGGCAACTTTAAGACTTGTGGACTTCCAACTCCCAGAATTCCTCAGCCAGCAAAGCAAAGAATTCTGGGAGTTGAAGTCCACAAGTCTTAAAAGTTACCAAGGTTGGAGACCTCTGCACTAGACAGAGGGCTGGTGGGAGACGTTTAAGAAAGAGAAACACAAGCCCTCTTCCTTTCATCCTGATAGGGAAGGAAGGATCCGTCAAGGCGCACCTGACAATCTTCTTCTCCACGACAAAAGAACAATATCCTGCTGTGTCTCTTAAGTAGGATTTGGAATCAAGAGCAACATCTACTAATCACAGATAAGCGAGACAGTCATGCCTGGGAAGCAACAGGAGAGGAGGGAGAAAGTTGATTTGATTCACCGGTTGGGAGAAAAAAATGGATGGGTGTCATTGGTTATAAAAACCAAATCGACTTACAATGACGCTACTCCAGTTAGGGCATAAATGATACACAGCGAACCTGAAGGACCACAGCAGGGACGGCCAGCAACAGATCTATTTGCTGGATGGACAGGGTGTGTCCCAACTCAAACCAGATCTGATCGTTTTGAGGAGCGAGGAAGGTTAAGAAATCCCATTTATCTGGAACGCGTTCGGTTCCATGAAGTTTTCAGGTGGATAAAACCCTAAGTTTTGATCTGTCTCTACGGCTAGCAGTTGAAGAGAACAGAATGGGAAGCTTTCTGTAATAAGCACTTCTTCTAGGGCAGTGTAAAGAGCCTGCAGGCAGACCGGTATGAATACAAAAATATATATAAAAAAAATAGGGAGAACCAAGTATTTTAGGCCTTTTTTTTTTTTAATGAGATGCCTGGCTTAAGCCAGAGCTTTGTAACATCTACCAGTGGACACTGTTAAAACGAGGACTGCAAAAATGGTGCCACACTTTGGAGAGGCTTCCTGACCAAAGGCTAAATGTACTTTGTCCATGTTATTAGTAAACCTGTAGGACACTCGATTTATATATACCCAATAAAAAAAAAAAAACACCGTTAAAAGTCTCTTTAGATGTCCCTCCTTCCTTCAGGAGAAGATGTTTCTATACACTAACGTTTCACCTAGTATCAGAGTATAAGAAACGAAATCCACAAGGTGCTTGAAAACTGATGAGATTCTCAAGTGCTTTCTCTCTCTCTCTCTCTCTCTCTCTCTCACTCTCTCTCTCTTTCTCTCAGAACATTTTTTGTTTCTTTTTGGATAGGAAAAACAGTTCATGGAGACCACGCACGCGTTGACTGCAACAGAACGATCCGTTGGCAGGACTTCCTGTCTTCAGAGCCCTCCGAGATTACGACATGCTAGAGCAACGCACTGAGGGGGAACCCATCTGAGTCAATACTTTATCCAGCCACTGTAGAGGCCCATTCAGGTGCAGCTCGATCCAACAAGGAGTGCTTGTTACCGTTTGACGCCTGAAAGGCAAAATGGGGAGGGGGGCAGAGAGAGGGGGAGGGGTCAGAGAAGGAATGAATAAAAGCCTTTTGTCAGGGCTCCGGCAGTTGCCCCCGTTTAAATCATGAGTCTTGAGCCGAACTTCCAAAACGTAAAGAAGATTTATTAGGAGTAAACATGCCAGCACTGCCTGGGTGTAGTCGACTCTGAGACACATTGTCACCCTTGACCCTGGTTTTCCTCCACCCCCGGGTGTATCATAATTCATATTCTCCAATGGGGCACATCCATAGCCCAGAGTCATCAATCATGTTCTCCAGTTAGAATTTTGCGCCGGCAGAAACTTTGGCCACCTAGAAACTATCTTTGAAAACATTTATGGAATGCAAGCTGCCCACTGCTCCCCACTCCCTTTCTGTTGGCAACTCTAAAAAGACCATAGAAATATTTTATGAGTATATATATAAAACCTTTGTGGCATGGCGAAAGCAGCACACCAGCCGAACAGAATACCTGGTAGACCTTGACTTACAACCAATTGTTTCGCGACCGTAGCAAAGTTACAATGGCCCGGGGGGGGGGGGGATCGAGTTATGACCGTTTTTCACACTGTTGCAGTCTCCCTGGGGTCACGGGATCAAAATTCAGATACTTAAAAACTGGCTCAAATTTATGACGGCTGCAGTGTCCCGAGGTCAAGGGATCCTTTTCTGTGACTTTCTGACGAGCAAAGTCAATGGGGAAGCCGGATTCACTTAACAGCTGGGTGTCAACTCATAAAATATTTCTAGGGTCTTTTTAGAATTGCCAAGAGAAAGGGAGGGGGGAGCAGTGCGGCAGCTTGGAAATCGAAAGTGCATTCCGTAAATAGTTTTCAAAGATAGTAACTATGTGACTGAAGTTTCTGCCACGCAAATATCTAATTGGAGAATATGATTGTTGACTCTTGGCTACGGACGTGTCCCATTGGAGAGTATGAATTACGATACATCCGGGGGTAGGGGAAAAAACAGGGTCAAGGGTGACAATGAATTATGTGCCTCAGAGTTGGCTACACCCAGGCAGCGCCGGATCTTTTAACTCCCAATAAATCCTTTTGATGGTTTGGAAGTTTGACTCGAGACTCATGATTTAAATGAGGGTAACTGCTGGAGTCCTGACACCAGGGTTATTGACTTATCAGCTGCAGGGATGCACTTAACAATTGTGGCCAAGAAAGAACGTAAAAATGGGGCAAAACTCACTTAATGACTCTCTTAAGTAGGATTTGTAATTCCTAACCATCACAAGAGGGCATGAAAAGGCAACAGGGATTAGCTGTTTGTGAAATCACAACTTTTGTAATTTCCAAAAGTTATACAGGGGAATATCTGGTTAGTAATTCGGTGGGAAACTACCAGGAACACCAAGCTGAAGGGTAGAGCAGACGTTAAAAACACATCTTGGAAGAGGAAAGAGCCAATTCCCGATATCCGGCAAGGAAGCTATAGAGAGATATCACCAGCTGTGTCAAGCATAAGACTCCGGGAAGTTTCTACACTGCTCCCAAAAATAAAGGGAACACAAAAATAAGACATCCTAGATCTGAACGAATGAAATATTCTTATTAAATACTTTGTTCATTACATAGTTGAATGTGCTGACAACAAAATCACACAAAAATTATCAATGGAAATCAAATGTAGCAACCCATGGAGGTCTGGATTTGGAGTTACACTCAAAATTAAAGTGGAAAAAAACACTACAGGCTGATCGAACTGTGATGTAATGTCCTTAAAACAAGTCAAAATGAGGCTCAGTAGTGTGTGTGGCCTCCATGTGCCTGTATGACCTCCCTACAATGCCTGGGCATGCTCCTGATGAGGTGGCGGATGGCCTCCTGAGGGATCTCCTCCCATACCTGGACTAAAGCATCCCCCAACTCCTGGACAGTATGTGGTGCAACGTGACGTTGGTGGATGGAGCGAGACATGATGTCCCAGATGTGCTCAATTGGATTCATGTCTGGGGAACAGGCGGGCCAGTCCATAGAATCAATGCTTTCGTTTTGCAGGAACTGCTGACACACTCCAGCCACATGAGGTCTAGCATTGTCGTACGTTAGGAGGAATCCAGGGCCAACCGCACCAGCATATGGTCTCACAAGGGGATCTCCTCTCGGTACCTAACGGCAGTCAGGCTACCTCTGGCGAGCACATGGAGGCCTGTGTGGCTCTCTAAAGAAATGCCACCCCACACCATTACTGACCCCAATGCCAAACCGGTCATGCTGGAGGATGTTGCAAGCAGCAGAACGTTCTCCACAGTGTCTCCAGACCCTGTCATGTCTGTCACATGTGTTCATCTGTGAAGAGCACAAGGCGCCAGTGGCAAATTTGCCAATCTTGGTGTTCTCTGGCAAATGCCAAACATCCTGCACGGTGTTGGGCTGTAAGCACAACCCCACCTGTGGACGTCGGGCCCTCATACCACCCTCAAGGAGTCTGTTTCTGACCATTTGAGCAGCCACATGCACATTTGTGGCCCGCTGGAGGTCATTTTGCAGGGCTCTGGCAGTGCTCCTCCTGTCCCTCCTTGCACAAAGCGGAGGTAGCGGTCCTGATGCTGGGTTGTTGCCCTCCTACGGCCTCCTCCACATCTCCCGATGTACTGGCCTGTCTCCTGGTAGCACCTCCATGCTCTGGACACTATGCTGACAGACACAGCAAACCTTCTTGCCACAGTTCGCATTGATGTGCCATCCTGGATGAGCTGCACTACCTGAGCCACTTGTGTGGGTTGTAGACTCCGTCTCATGCTACCACTAGAGTGAAAGCACCGCCAGCATTCAAAAGTGACCAAACCATCAGCCAAAAGGCATAGGAACTGAGAAGTGGTCTGTGGTCACCACCTGCAGAACCACTCCTTTATTGGGGATGTCTTGCTAACTGCCTCTGCTTTCCACCTGTTGTCTATTCCATTTGCACAACAGCATGTGAAATTGATTGTCAATCAGTGTTGCTACCTAAGTGGACAGTTTGATTTCACAGAAGTGTGATTGACTTGGAGTTACATGTTGTTTAAGTGTTCCCTTTATTTTTTTTGAGCAGTGTATCTTCACCTAAGTCTCAAGGAAGACCAATTTTTATAAGGGGAAATAATTACTTTGTGATTGTATAATTTATAACATCAAGTGGTTCCTTCCCCCCCCCCCACTTGTGAATGAATGACTTAAGAGAATTACAAATCTGATACTAAGGCACAAGGGTCACTTGTTAGTAAATTTAATTCTTCTCATATCATAAGAGTGGGTTTTTTCTTTCCTCCCAGTTACCTATACATTTGCTTTTCAGCTTGCTTCTTCTTTCTCATGGCAACTACCACTTCCCTACTTAACCTATTTACACACACACACACACACACACACACACCCTTGCTAAGAGGCAATGACTCCCTCACGTGCAGTTTTTCTTCTGCCTATCAGCCTGGCCTTGAGGGCATCAGTTCTACTGCAGAGATGATTTTATTATCTTAGGTACAAAAAAGCAACTATCTCTTTTCCAAAACAAATTGCAAGTTCTACTTACTTTGGGCAGCTTATCTTTGAAGTTTGTGCTACCATGCCTATTAAATTTTAAAGATCCATATTCTCTTTCTTCCAGATAACATGCTTTTAATAAAAGGGATAGGATGGGGTTTGGGAAGTTATCAAGTGTTTAATACGGGTGGCAGGGTGGGATTTTTAAATGGATTTTTATTATATGATGAATTCATTAAAAAATTGTGTGTGCGTGATCTGGGTGGCTGCATACATTTGTTTAATAAAGCATTAAATTAACAACTGGTTTGCAACACTATGTGCTTTTAGTCAAGGTTGGCACTTTAGAAAACCAAAGGTTAAAACTAAAGGTTAAAAGTTTCAAGCACATATGGAACTTCTCCTTAGCAAACTCTATAGAACTAGAGACAATCTGTTTGGCCTACTTTGCCTTAAGGCTACAGGAAAGAGACCAGGAGACTGTGAGTTCTAGTCCTGCTTTAGCCATGAAAGACAGCTGGGTCCAGTCACTCCCTTTCAGTCCAACTCACCTCTCAGGTGGTTACTGAAGGGAAAAATAAAAAGGAAGGAACAACAGATATATTTGTGGCCTTGAGTTGTTTTTATCAGAGTAATAAAAGTGGGGTTAAAATAAAATAAAAGAACTAATTTATAGAACTTGACCACTGCTCCAGTCTGTACAACATCTACAGGGAAATCTTAAAGCCTAAAGTACCAGTGAGAAGGAATGGGGGGGGGGGGGGGGGGGCAGAGAAATGACAAGCCACTTCATAGGCTAGAAATGCCTTTTGATATCAGCTTTCAACCCCCTCCCCTGCCCAGGTGCAGATCAAAGCCGAATGGACTTTGGGTCTTCCTCCAAAAAAGTTGGAGGATCACCGAGGTGTTCAGTGGGAATATCCTCTCTTTGTACAGAGTTAAGTTTGTCAGCCCTCTCGCTCGAATTTTCTTAACTCAACTGAAAAAAAGAGCTTGGGTTTCTCACAAGAGAGCCCGAGGTGACCTAAAAGCAGGGGGTTCTTCAACTTTGGCGACTTAAAAGACTTGTGGACTTCAACTCCCAGAGTTCCTCAGCCAGCTTTGCTCTGGGAGTTGAAGTCCGCAAGTCTTTTAAGTTGCCAAAGTTGAAGACCCCTGACCTAAAGCACTATTTACATGCAAAAAGAATGCCAAGCCATGAGGCTAGACCAGACGGATTCTGTGAGAAGGCGAGGACTGCACTGGACTGCAGGCTTGGCAATTCACCCCTGCCACAAGGGAATTCTTCAGAGCTCCACCAAATACCTGTACTCAGCTCCCCATCCTTTAACGAAACTCATCCTGATGGTGCACATGCGGGTGAGCTGATATACGGCTTCGAAGCCCTGATTCACAGATTGAGCCAGAAGAGCAGCAAATTCCTGGTTGTTGAAGATCTTCAGGTTGCAACCTATATGAAGGGGAAAGACAGCGGGGGGTTACTATTGCCAAACCTTAGTAAGACCACACCTAGAGTCCTGCATCCAGTTTTGGTCGCCACACTATAAAAAAAGATGTTGAGGCTCTAGAAAGAGTGCAGAGAAGAGCAACCAGGAGGATTAGGGGACTGGATGCTAAAACATATGAAGAACGGTTGCAGGAACTGGGCCTGGCTAGTCTAGTGAAGAGAAGGACCAGGGGAGACAGGATAGCAGTCTTCCAGTATCTGAGAAACTGCCACAGAGAGGAGGAAGGGGTCAAGTATTTTCCAAGGCACCTGAAGGCCAGACAAAGAACAATGGATGGAACCTGAACAAGGAGAGATTCAACCTGGAAATAAGGAGACATTTTCTGACAGGGAGAACAATCAACCAATGGAACAGAAGTTGCCCTCAGAAGTTGTGGGAACTTCATCACTGGAGGCTTTTCAAGAAGAGATTGGACTGCCATCTGTCAGAAATGGCGTAGGGTCTCCCGCTTGGGCAGGGGTTGGACTAGATCACCTACAAGGTCCCTTCCAACTCTGTTAATCTGTATCTGTAAGTTACCGGTATCCTCTAAAGGTTAATATTATAGAACCCATCCCTTTAAAGTTTCCGCAGCATTTTTTTAAAAAAAGTTGAACAGCTTTTGGAGATGCTGGAAGTCATTTCCCAATATTCCCAGGCACATTTTCTGCTGATAGAAAATAAGGATTCGACAATCAGAAGATCTAAAGACATCACCTGGAAAAAATCTGCCTTACAGCTCTGGCCATGCACTTTAATATACTGTATGTGTTTTTTTTTTCTTTTTGGTTTTACATAACTTACCTGGTGGGATTTTGCACACAGTGGCCGGATGCCAGCCATATCTCTGGTTACAGTTAGGACTCTGCACGAAGATTGCGCTGTCACTTAAGCACTCGGCAAAAACTTCCCCGCCAATATAATACAGACGCACTCCCCTTCCTGGGTGGGGGTGGGAAATGAGGAACAGAGAAAAGAGAAATGTTGAAGATTATCATCTCCACTGCTTAGGACCCCCCCCCCCCTTCTATCGTTTTGAAAATTGACTGGATTGTTATTCTTTTACAGCTAGCATGCCAATGTTATGTAACTAAATGACAGAACTGTGTTTTACTTCTTCTTTTAATGCTTAAATGTTTTTTTTGGAAGGAAGGAAGGAAGGAAGGAAGGAAGGAAGGAAGGAAGGAAGGAAGGAAGGAAGGAAGGAAGGGGGAGGGAAGGAAGGAAGGAAGGAAAAGAAATAAAAGGAAGGAAAGGAAGGAGGAAGGAAGAGAAGAAAGGAAAGGAAGGAGGAAGGAAGGAGGGAGGGAAGGAAGGAAAAGAAAGAAAAAAGAAAGGAAAGGGAGAGAGAAAGAGAGAGAGAGAGAGAGAAAGAAAGAGAAAGAAAGAAAGAAAGAAAGAAAGAAAGAAAGAAAGAAAGAAAGAAAGAAAGAAAGAAAGATAGATAGATAGATAGATAGATAGATAGATAGATAGATAGATAGATAGATAGATAGATAGATAGATAGATAGATAATTCATCAGGGGATCCTACCTATGTGCCGTCTTGTCATTTCCACCGTGGCGTTTCTGTTAACGTTGGAGAGCAAACCTAGGCAGAATCGTTCGGAGTTGGATGGGTCCGTGAAGCCGTCTACGGTGAGCGAAGGTTGCGATGCGTGGAAGGTTTCACCCACTCTCTGATTTAGTTCATAATATGCTATTGAACACCAAAAGGCGGGCTCTGAGTAGGTAACCGGCTGCAAGTCTGGCAAGAGAGAAAGAAATCATTCTTTAAAATAATTCTTTATATGCACTGTACTTCTCGGTATTTGGCAATGGTCCGATAGCCATGGCTACCATTCTTGAAACAGAACAGGAATGTCCATGTTTTCAGTGCAACCACAATCGAAGCTCTGTCAGCCCAGGGGTTGATACATTAATACATTTCATCTAAAAGGCCACGTTTGCTCTAATTCCCCCCATGCAACTAAACAATCTGAATGGCTTAATTTTAGGGAGTGCTCACGCCATCTCTTCGTTTTATTTGCAGAGGAAAACTGAGCAGAAGACATACTCTGCCTGAAACTTTATTTTCCCTAGCTATTTCGTATCTTTATTTCCCTTTCTATTCCACTCTTTGGCACCACATTTTCCATGATAATGTTATCCTAGATTAAACCATCTTGATTTAACTGCCCACAGCACAGTAAAGGATTCACATTTTAAGAAGCTCATTTCCCAAAATACAGCCCATAAAAATACTAATACAAGTTGCTGGAGCTAGTTAAAAGATTCGTCAACATTTGATTTTTAATGAACTGTATGGGCACCTATAGATTTGATAGAATTGAGGCACCCATAAATTGATACAACTGTCATTAAACATACAGTATGCCAGTACTATCCCAGGTAGTCCCCGACTTAATGAGGGATCGCTTAGCGGCCGTTTGAAGTTACGACAGATAATCCCCAAAACTAATGACTCATTTCCAAAGTTATAACTGCTATACTCCTCCCCTTGTGGCCATGTGAATTTATTTTGGGAGCTTGGCAACCCGCTTGCCTATGGGGCCATTTGCAGCAACCCGCAATCACGTGGGTCACAATTTGCCTCATATTTTTACCTGTTTCTGACATTTCATCTCAGCTGTTGGCAAAAAAACAAAAACACACTGGAAAAAAATGATTTGCTTAACAGCCACCACCACCACCCAAAAAAGTCAAAAAATTCGGTCTAGCCACATGATGCCTCAAGGTATGATCCCAATGACTTCCAGGCTCAATTATGGACATAAGATGAGGACTGGGTACAGTTTTACTGTTGGGAGTTGGGAGTCCAACAACATCTGGGAGAAAACTAATGTGCTGTGTGGTGTACAACACTTTTATAGCATGCCCAATAGTAGGAAAGGTTAATTTAACAGTATATCTAAGCAGACCAATATTGAAGCAAACTCTTCTATTCAGCCTTATGGGCAATAATACCTCGCAAGGCTATTCACAGATAGTGGACAGTTCATTTCAAGCAAGGTCGGCATTCAAAACTATGATGCACAACCTTATTACAAGTACATTTTCAGCTTGATCATCTAACTTTAAGTTGCTGATAGCAACAGGTAATTCTTTAAACTTTTAATTCTGCGGCCCTTTTTGCCATGTTTGCATACTAACATTGCTCCTCATGTGATTCTAGAAGAGAACCAGTAATTGTTTCATTGAGGGAAGTATTTAATTAAGGAACAGCTGTTCTTACCAGAGCACAAAGGGCTTTATTTACTGTCGGCCTGTCTCAGGGGAATATGGCCATATCCCACACTTGGAGGCGAGAACCCAAAATCTGAAGACCAATGCCCTAAAGCAGGGGTACCCAACCTTGGCCATTTAAGGCTTGTGGACTTCAACTCCCAGAATACCCCAGCCAGCACAGGAATTGAAATCCATAAGTCTTAAAAGCGGTAAAGGTTGAACACCCCATCTTGAAACCTAGGGCAGACATATTTTTTTTAACCTGAAACGTATTTTAATGGTGTACCAGGTAGAAGTACCAACTAATGCAATTCTCCATTTCTTGCTCCAGATAATAAGAGTTCCTATTTCTTAATGCAAAGACATTTATCCAATTTTCCAATTTAGCTTACCTAGGCTGTGATTGACAGGGGAGAGTGTACTAGGAGACAACTCTGCCGGCGATCCTGGGGAAACAATCAAGAACATTATTTCATTTTTTCCCCTCTTGCCTGCATGTGTGCGCGCGCACACGAACACTTCACACAAATCCTTTGGGCAGAGATCCAGATGTCATAGTTTTTCACAAGCTACCATTAATCTTTGGGCATGGTAGTCAAAAGAATCTGGAATCACTTTTATTCTTTCCCTGATTCAATGAAATGTTGAAAAGATGGGAAAATATTTGAACAAAGGATGGGAGGAACTATGATTGGCATGATAGAACCTTAGCACTAGTTCTAGTAACTAGCTTAGAATTTATCTTACTCCTATTAACAATAACATAACAAAAATCAAGGTTTAAGAGGTCAAGATAGGTGATATATATTAGCCTACTGAAAAGGGCATTTAACTAACCCTTTGCCATTTTAGCATCTAATAATCCAAGAAATATGAAATGTGCAGGTCGTCTTAACCTATGACCGCAATTCAGCCCAAAACTTCTGTTGATAAAGAGATTGTTAGGTGAATTTACCCCATTTTACAACCTTTCTTGCCACAGCTATTAAGTGAATCACTGCAGTGATTAAGTTAGTTCACAACTGTTAAGTGAATCTGGCTTCCCATTGACACTGCTTGTAGTTTGAACTAGCCATTTCTGTTACACTAAATCTATCTAATTGGTAAAACCCAAAATCAAAATTTCTTTTTTTTCTCTACCTCAAGCACAAAGTCCAGAAGCGGTCTCCAGGTAGAAACAAAAGTATTTATTTTTTTCCCTTGATCAAAACAGGCATTGGATCTTTTCTGTATGACTCATAGCACCAGAGTCCACTGGAATTTGGTGGCCAATAATTTTAAACGAACAAATAAACCAACATATCTTTAAAACTTAACACTGATGTTTTGTCAGAGAGAGATATGCAAATGTAACAAAAAATGGGCAGAAGACTTGAAAAATACACCATAAAAGTGAGGGCATTTACCTGTATCCATGCTTTGGTTCAACTGCTGGTCACTTGTTTCCCCATCCTCACTGATATACCCAGGGGGTGGTGTTTCTACCAAGAACAAAATATAATTGAGAATCCTTTAAAATAAAACCTTCGCTCAATACCATGAACGCTAGACGTTTAATCAATAAACAAAGAACAGGCAAAATATTTAGGAATCAAACTGCGGCCCTTGAGCCTATCTGAACAGACCTCTGGCCAGAAATCGCACTGCCACAATTAAAAGGGGGGGGGGGAAGAGAACCATCCATGTCATTTCGCCCTACCCCAATTCTATAAGCCATAGGTTTATATACCGTAGATGTGTTCAAACATTAGTAGTGGAGTTTTAAGACTGCGAAGTGAGTGAGTTTTTCATTTTTGGGAGGGATGGTAATCTTTTTCAGAATGGGAATAGAAAAGGGAACTTTTCTACCCACCCTCATTAAATCAGAAAAGTCCTGGCCAATGTAGAACTTGTGATCCTTTGGAGGTTTCTACTCCTAATAGCAATAGCACTTAAGATTTATATACATACTGCTTCACAGTGCTTTAGCATCCCTCTCTAAGCGGTTTACAGAGCCAGCCTATTGCCTCCAACCATTGGGGTCCTCATTTTACCGACCTCGGAAGGATGGCAGGCTGAGTCAACCTTGAGCCAGTCAAGATTGAACTTTCAGCAGTTGGTAGTCAGAAAAATTAGCCTGCAGTACCGCATTCTAGCCACTGCGGCACCGCAACTCTCAAGCAAACCCAAGAAAAAGCCCAGTGGGGACTTCCCAATTTTACAAGGGGGGAGGGGGGGGAGGGAAGTCTTAATTCAGTAAGCAAGCTTGTGAATGCAGAGATATCTAAATAAAAATATATATATTCATGCTTCTGTTCCAAAGGTGCTTTTTTTTCAAGAGGCAACTGGGACTTTCTGGTTTCTCTTTGAAGACGTTTCGCTTCTCATCCAAGGAGCTTCTTCGGCTCTGACTGGATGGTGGGGAATGGGAATTTTTCAATCAGAGCTGAAGAAGTTCCTTGAATGAGAAGTGAAACGTCTTCAAAGAGAAACTAGAAAGTCCCAGTTGCCTCTTAAAAAAAGCACCTTTGGGACAACCATGACCTGGATGGCCGAGAATCTCCATAGATGTTCATGCTTTTGACTCCCTCCAAACGTAAATTAGAGGACAACTAGTTTAACATTCCATCCCATCTGTGGCTAGAGATTAATATTAAGGTTAATATACACACGGCCCATGGACAATAAAGGAGGGTTCCTGAAGTTTATTTGTTCTTTTCGTTAAGTAAGGCAAATTTGAGTGTATTCAGTTGTAATTAATGCCCAAAAAGTTATTTTCCATAGCTTAATATGCACTCCAGCTCTCAGAACACACTGTATGATTTACAAATAAAACTAGAAGTACAACCCACAATCTCAGATGACAGTGGAGAAACACAATTAGTTCATTTGAAAATATAACAGAATAAAAGACTTGGAAGAGAACCTTGAAGCATATATAGGTTAAACAGCTAGATAAACGCAATAAAATAATCTTTATGGTTTGCAGTTCTTCGGGAAAAGTTTGAGAAAAGTGTGCGTCAAATGGAATTTCAAAATATGGCAGTGGCACAACCAAGACGTGAAGAATCTAAGTTGGGTATTCTAAAACAGGGAGATCTCATTTTTAAAAATCTCAAAAGGATGGTTTAAAAATAATTCAGCCAGAGTTGCTGAATGCAGCTATGTGACTTAAGCAGTGTAAATGACACTGGCGTAAGCTTAAACAAATAACATTAAGAAACTTATTAATTAAAATCTACCAGGAACAGTCACATAGTTGATGATGCCCTCAAAACTCAAGGCATCAACAGATGATCAGGCAGTGGGGAAAAATCCACTGGCAGTTCTGCACTAGAGGCAGTCCTCAACTTACAACCCGAATTGGAAACAGACTTTTTGTTGCTAAGGGATGCAGCGGTTCAGTGAATTGTGCCTGATGTTATGACCCTTTTGCCACGGTTATTACAACAAAATCTGGCTTCCCCTATTGACTCTGCTTGTTGGAAGCCCTCTGGGAAGACTGCAAATGGTGATCACATGACCTCCGGATGCTGCAGCTGTTGCGGAGACATTCGGATTGCTAAGCGCTCAAATGTTGATCATGTAACCAACTGCAGGGGTGCTGCGAGGGCCATCAATGCAAGGATTGGTTCGGAGTCACTTTTTGCAATGCTTTTGTGATGTTAAATGAATTGTTGAAAATTGAGGACTACGGTACCTATAACTTCGAACTCCATTATGGCTGGGTGGACTGCCTAGCAATAGCAATAGCCCTTAGACTTATATACCACTTCACAGTGGTATATAGCTTTATAGCCCTCTCTAAGAGTCAGCCTCTTGTCCCCCAACAATTTTGGGTCCTCATTTTACTCACCTCGGAAGGATGGAAGGTTGAGTCAACCTTGAGCCTGCTGAGATTTGAACTGCCAAATTGCAGGCACAAATTGAAGTAGCCTGCAGTTCTGCCTTCTAACCACTGCGCCACCACGGCTTTTAAAGATACTGTTAAAAATCATCTTCTGTACTTTATGAAAAAGTACACTGATAAAGATTCTGCTGATGGCTGAACAACTTTTAGTTGGACCCAGAGCACTCCAACAATTACAAGGAAATCCCAACCCTAGCAAGCAATGCCAGGCTTACCACGCCGTTATTTTATTTTGGCACATTAAACAACGGATTTCTGTTTAATTCTAGTTGCATTTACAGGAATACCTGGTATGTAATTGCTTTGTGGTTCAATTCCTGCTGGAAAATTAGTGTTTTCAGGAATGGAATGAGTGTAGTCATCAAGAGGAGGAAGTTCAGTCAGAATCTCAGTGTGTCGTGGTACCAGAACAGGAGGCAGAACTGGGAAGAGGGAAAACATCCCAAAAAAGTTAAGCACAATTTTACCATGCTTAAATACACCACAATACACATACTCCTCTATAAAATATATTGCAGACCCTATAAGTCATATGACAAGGTTTTAATTCAAACCACCAATCATTCAGGTTTATGCCTATTCAGGATTAAACTCAAATTTTGGCAATGGGCTTATTTCCAGGTAAGCATGGAAAAAATTACACCAAGTAGCATAAAATGCTAATATAATAATCAACACTTGGGGAGGGGGAGAGATACTTAATATATGTTACATCCAAATATCCATGGTGAATATATAATGATATAAGTGTGTTTGCAGACTTAGACAGTCTCCTAGGCACATTTACTAAAAAGGTTGTCTCCATTTCACACTTTCTTCTCCTCACAAGCAAGAATTTTTTTCTTATTTTCCCCAGAATCACCCCAGGAGGAAAGGGGTGGAAGTCTAAGGAATGGAAAGCAACGACTGAACCAAGAGAATGAAGTGATCTTTAAAGCTAAGATCCAAATGGGATCTCTTGTGATTCTTGTTTAACCACTGAACAGTAGATGTGAAGGAGGAGGATCCAGATGCCGAATTCACTAAAGTCGTTTTGGAGCATTTCTCAGCTCACGTATCTCAGTGGTGCTTTTTCAAAAGGTAACTGGACTTTGTTTTTCCTTGAAGGTATTTCGCTTCTCACCCGAGAAGCTTCTTCAGTTCAAGCTTCTTGAATGAGAAGCTATTGTTTCCAGGGAAAACAATCAATCCAAACAGAGCTGGAAGCTGTTGTCTACTCCAGCCCCCTGCCCAAGCGGGAGATCCTATACCACTTCAGACAGTTGGCTGTCCAATCTCTTCTTAAAAACCTCCAGTGACGAAACTCCTACAACTTCTGAAGGCAATTTCTGTTCCCCTGGTTAATTGTCCTCACAGTTAGGAAGTTTCTCCTTAGTTTTAGGTTGCTTCTCTCCTTGATTAGTTTCCATCCATTGTTTCTTGTCCTGCCCTCTGGTGCTTTGGAGAATAAGGTGAAATAAGTTCAAAGTCCAGCTGCCTTTTGGAAAAAAAAAAAAAACACCTCTGGGACAACCATGGTCCTGGTTGGCTGAGAATCTCCATAGAATCTCAGCTCATATGGTAGATGTGAGAATAAATTAGTGTGACACCAATTCTATCGGTCTCAGTTCCTTGCACCAATGACATGTTAACAATTACACAATAACCTGCCCTCACAAACACTTTTTTAATGCAGCTGAACAAACTATCTTTCTTTTGAAAATTACAGGAGATTGGGGAAGGACTTTTAAGTGGCTGTTCCAGACTGTGATGGAATACTTTTCCTGGAACTACCAAAGAAAGGTGAACAAATGTATCATTCAGATGTCTCTACATTAAAAATTCTTCGACCCACTTGAGTCTCTATAACAAAGCAGAAAAGAAAGGTAATTGAGGATTTCTGTCATTTTAATTGAGGTGAACGCTTGCAACCCCTTTGCAGCTCCAAGTTATACCAGTAAGTGCCAAACACATGCATTCAATACAACCAACAATGCTGTTCAATATTTATGTGCCACTGTGAAAAATTAAAAGCTGGAGTAACTCCCGCTCAAACCCTTGGAATAACGCAGGCACTCCTTTTGAGTCAACTTTGTACACACTGAGTATTACATTGGAGGTTTAGTAAGGGAAGCCTGCATAAGCCAATCCCTTTACGTCAGCTGTGCTTGTCATCTTCGTACCTGGAGTCTCCACTCTCTGGTAATGGTAAGGATTTACACACACTTCATCCTTTTTAAGATTAAAAGCATATTCACAGTTTTCAATGGCCTTAAGTTCATGATGGCTGTGAAGGTCAGGCCAGCGCCACAAGCGACAGTAAATGACATGAGGCAATCCTTTACGATGGGACACTTGGAGGCGGCCATCAAGAGACCTAGAGAGAGAGGGAAAAATATTCCAGAATGTTCTGAGTTGTTGACTTGCAACATATTTAAGATGACCTACTCAGAACTATGGCGCTTAGAGCACCCTTCCGTCCTACCCGAAAAAGAAAAATGAAAAAAGAGCTGCCACAGACATTTATATCTTTCAACATTGCAATATTCTTTGCAATAAGAGAGGTCGTTTCATGGTTAGTGCACACACACTGCTATTACTGGCCCTTGAATCAAAGAATCTGTGTGTGTCATAATGACTGAACGACAAATAAGTCTGCTCATCAGCAACACTTAATACTAGGCTAAAACAGACAATTATTGCTGTTAAGAATATAGGTTGTACAAGACTGCACATAAAATTATAGCAGTCAAGATACCAAAGGAATTGACATTGCATAAAACAGAGTTTCTCAAGCGGAGCTTTTTTTAAGGCCTTTGGACTTCCAGCAGGGCTGGCTGGGGAATTCTGGGAGTTGAAGTCCACAAGTCTTAAAGGGGCTCAGGTTGAGAAACACTGGCATAGAACGTGCAGCTTCCATCATCGTGCTGGCCTGCGATTTCTGCATCCCTTGCTGCTACCAGTTGAAAAGTTTTGCTAGTTTTAAGATAAAGACTGCCTAAGCCTACACAAATGCAGATGAATTTATGACTCATGGGATGGGAAAGACAAAAATCTCAGCACACAATGTAAATAGGGTGACATGGGAAGAGGGAAAAAAAAAAGGAACTGTCAAAAGCCAGACAAGTTGTTTTCTTGTCTCTGAGTGCACATACCTAATTCTTTTTTTAAAAAAAAAAGCATACATACAAATATATATATATATATATATATAGTGTGCAAGCATTTTTAAAGACACACTTGGTAACCTGGTATGAGGTAAAATGCCCCCTATGTTGTTAAATGAAGAAAAGATTATGAAGCCACACGCCCACCCGCACCCGCCCCAACTTCCCAAGTCTTCCCACAGCACTAATAACCAACTTTTGTTGGTTAAAACATCAACTGAGAACACAACATCCATGTTTAAAAGGCTCTGTTGATAGGAAGCACTGCAACTGGTAAAGACCCCTGAAAAGCCGAACCCACCCGCAAGATCTCTATGACGAGACACAGGGCAAAATATTCACCTGGTTTGTTCAGAGAAGCTGTATAGGCCTGTGGTATCCCACTGATCTATCGTATTTGGTGTACTCAGTCCCCAAATTTCAGAGCAAGTGCTGTGTATAAATTGGAAAAACAAAAACAAAAAAAGTTGATGTGAATATGGAAGCATGGTTATTCAAACTACCATGATGTAAAGACATGGGAGAAATGTACAGAAAACTTCCTTCCACATAGAAAATACTGAAGAGCTTGCTTCATTTTCTTTTGTTTCCTTTCCTTTTTTAAAAGCTAGTATCAAAAAGAATGTATTTTCTATATGAAGGAGGCCGGTAAAATGGAACATGTGATTTTAAGGTAAAATGATGTTTTCAAAACGGTGAGCACGTCAGCTGGATTGATGCAATTTGCATATTTGCAATATACCTTAAAACAGGCAAAACCTCATCAACCTGGCAGTATACAGTCTCTTTGCAAATAGTAAGAAAAAAATCTTTACGAAATAATAAAATATATATATATAAAGTCAACTAAAATCATGTCAGTAAAGTATTAAGAGTTCAACAAACTGTTACACCAAAATTTAAAAATCACCAAAATCAATTTGTTAGCTAGCTGGAATGTACAAGTTTTCCATTTACTTTCGTTGAAATGTCCTTTTGAGCCCACCAATCTTCACCCCTTCATGTTTAATGCCATATGAAAGGATAAACCCAATGCTTGCTATTAACAAGCAGACAGAAGGCAAGCAATTCAAATTATTATTATTTTCAAAAAAACCTGATATTAAAGGTTTTCCTTTATTTATTTATTTTATAACCCCTTTTATTATTTACATAAATAATTCAAGGTGGTGAACATACCCAACATGCTTCCTCCTCCTATTTTCCCCACAACCACCACCCTTGTGAGGTGGGCTAGGCTGAGTGTGTGTGACTGGCCCAAAGTCACCCAGCTGGCTTTCATGGCTAAAGGAGAGACTTGAACTCAGATTCTCCTGCTTTCTAGCTTGGTGTCTCTTTAACCACTACACCAAATTGCCAAGAACTGTCATTTCACAGGAATCTCAGCAGGCAACATTAACAACCTGAAAAAAGTATCACAATCAACCTTACTGACACTACTGAGCCCAAATCCATCGAACATTATTTCATCTGTTTTGTATTTTTTTTCAGAAAGTGGTTCATGTGGTTTCATTCGCACCAACTAGAAGGAGAAACTCTACCTAAGATCTGACCAATAATCAATTGGGTACAATAAGCAGCCAGAGTTCAATGCATTGTACTAATATCTCTCTCTCTCTCTCTCTCTCTCTCTCTCTCTCTCTTGTGTGTGTGTGTGTGTGTGTGTGTGTGTGTGTGTGTGTGTGTGTGATTATCACTCAAAGCTGCCAGTACTTACCAAAAGGCAATCCAATTAAAGTTGAAACTGTATCCACCTTGCAGGCCGGTGATAATATTCTGGACCGTGAAGTATTAGAAGTCAATTCAGGTAGACAGTTTACATGTTTAGTGGGATTAACATGGACCTTGAAAGAATCACCCAAGCATGTCTGAAAAGGTACCACTATGTTTTTCTGATTTGTAGCTACCACAACAAGGCCACAGCTGCTTACTTGTTCCTCTCAAGATGCAAAATATATACATTATGTGAACTCTTTGAAACAACACTCCATCATACCCCAAAACTCAGAATGGGGATACTGGATTATATTTAAAAATCATTTGTTATCTAGATGTAAATTCTTTTTTTTATTTTCCTAGCCACCACCAATTCTGACATGTTAAATAAATGCAGAAGAAGCTTCTTGAAGCAAGAAGCTCAGTTAACAAGTGTTCATGTTCACAAATCTTTTACTGCAGAAGCATTGTGGATTTTCCACTGGAAATGATTTTTTGCAAAGGTTTTTTCCCCCCTGAGACAAGAACATAGCCATGTATTATGAATCAAGGCTACCATTACGTCTGCTTTTTGCTAGTTGCCCTTTAATATGTTTTGCGGTTATCTTGAAATTCAGGATTAGTGCAGTCATAAGAAAATTAATCTAGGAATCAGTGTATATTTCCTCAGATGAATCTCACTCTTTGATTATACATCTGATCAAATGCCAATCGAAATGCGTATTAAAGTTAAATTATGAACTAAGATCAGGAGATGGGGAAAAAATGTATGCATACAAAAGGAGAATCCAGCAATTATTATACGTAATCATTATGGCTGTATTGGCATAAATCAACAGTAAGGAAACAACAAACTGACCTTCTAAAGAAATTTACAGTTCATGAGATGGAAACAAGAATGTAACCAAACTGTATCTTGCAAGCTGTAAGTGATCATAGCCCCAATTTACTCTCCATTTCATTCAGAAACAATTTGCAAAGTGAATGGTACAGACACAGCCAAAAATTGCTGTCACCCCTGAACTAACTGCCCAAAGCATGAATCTCCTTCTCCAAAGGTTCAGCATGGCCACTTCACTTTAACATCAAACCGAGCTTTTTCATCACGCCGAATTTTCCAAGATGGTCTTATGAACGGTTTGCACAAACCTATAAATAGACGGCAAAAACAGCTCCTAAAACAAAAGCAATCCACTGTCCTCTCTAGAACGCTAAAAATCTCCACAGACCGTTCTCATCCTGGACATACCCAATATTTTGAACTGTTACCATCAGGGAGGCGTTACAGGTGTCTTAAAATGAGGACTAATAGATTGAGAAACAGTTTCTTTTCCAAGGCAGTAATTGTCTTGAATCAAACAGTGCATTTGTGATTTAGCCCTATGTATATAGTGGCATTTTTAAACTATTTTAACTTACTAAATGTTTTAGATAGGTTTTAGATAGGTTTATTAATGTTCAGATAGGTTTTTTTAATATGAGTATAGCTTTTTAATTATTATTATTATTTTAATTATTTTAATTTTTAAATACTCCGTAGTGTGATTGTGATGTGGCACTTGGGGCACTGTGCTGGAGTAGCTTTCAAATTTCATTTTATTCATGGAATGCAATGACAATAAAGGTATTCTATTCTATTTCTGAATTTTATTAATAATCCTCATGACACTACATTTATTGGAGTAATATAGCCGGCCCACAAGAAAAAAAAATACTACTGAAAAACAGTTGCTTCAGTTGCACGAACCTGAAAACAATTTACTTCTTTGGAAGAAGCTTGCATACTTAAAGGATTGGTTCATCTTTGGCACTAGCTGTGCTCTCCATACTGGAAAAGTTTTGAAGATTAGTACATCTAACATTGACCAACACTTCCTATTCAGCTAATGATTAGTTTACAGCAGGGTTGTCCAACCTTGGCAACTTCAAACTTGCAGACTTCAATTCCCAGAATTCTCCAACCAGCCATAGTGGCTGGGGAATTCTGGGAGTTGAAGTCGATAACTTTAAGTTATCGAAGTTGGACACCCCGGTTTACAGAAATTACATCTACAATCTCCTTGCAACTGTTAAAAGAAAACATACCAAAAATCAATATCAGAAATCACAATGTGTTTTTGCTGTTCTGACATTACTCTACTGAATTTATAACAAAATTTACAAACATTGTAAAATAGCCTCATATTAGTGTCTATTTTCCAACTGTCTCTAATGAAATGTTTATGAGAATGATGTTTGATAAAGATTAATGTGATGTATTTATTCATATGTGCAGGCAGATATGGATAAGGCAGATATTGGATTTAATATATCCATTCTTTGTGCATGATATTTTGATTCAAAGTTATCTCCATAACTTAAGAGATGAAAAAGAATGACAGCAATGACAAAAGCTGAATTCATCTGTATTATGCATTTCCAGAAAATATTTTTTGTTGAAGGGGAAAAAAAAAGATATACAGTATAAACGACACAAGGTTGCTTCTCAGACAGTCAAGTGGAGCTGTCTTTTCAGGATTTAAATCATTTGTTAAGTTCTGCATCATTTTAGTTGTAAAACTTTAAGACTTTACTGATGAAGTCAATACAAACCAGTGGCTTTATAAACTCCTACCAATAAAATAGGCTCCAAGAGATGGTAACAAAAAAAAAAAAACAACCCTGGAGACACAACTTAAGAAGTATAGAAAAGAGTATTGAATAAAAAGTATTGAATAACCTGGTTTATTAACCTAGGTCTCATGTCCAAAATCTCACGAGAATTGAATGAAAATGTAGCTCTCAACAGAACCAACTTCAGTCTCTGAATGAATATGGTTGTATACCCTTGATGGGGAAAAATGATCCCCTTCTGCAAAACAAACAATAAACAATCTCTTCAGAAGTTGAATGAATGAACACAAGAAAATGCTAAGCAAATCTTGAGGGTGCTTGACATTATGAAAATATTTGGAACATGCATAACCTAAAATAAATGAAGCAAACAGAATTGGAGAGGTTTCTTAACTGGTGTTTTCAAATGTCACTGAGAACTCTTAGGAAAACTGCAGTATTACTTGAAGCAACATAAAATGACAAAAAGGACATCTACTGGACATCATCTTTAGAGTCTATAGTTTAGTCTAACACTTTTAGAAGGATACAAAACTAATTTGCTGATTTGTAACTGTTACATTTCGGTAATATTTGAAATTTAGAATTTTCAATCATTGGCTTTGGGTAGGATCCTTGGTAAAGCCAAATGAAATATTATGGAAAAGGCTAGTCAGAGCCATTTGTGTCGGCACACGAGCTGCAGGCAAACTTACCTCACTGTGCATATGTGTGCATCTCACAGTCGATTTTCAGCCGGTGTGACGCCTTTTCGGCCTCCCAAAGGCTTGAGGAAGGCTTCTGCAGGCTTCTACAAGCTTTGCAGGCTGAAAACTAGCCCCGTTTCGTCACTTCTGGTATTTTCGGAAAAACAGGAAGTGACGAAACAGGGCTAGCACAAAGGGGAAAATCAGCTGTGAGGCGCAGTGCAGGTAAGGGGGCGGCAGGGGTGGGTGGGTGGATGGGGATTGCGCGCACATGTGTAGGGGACGTGGGAGGGCGCATTGCCTTCTGGGTGTTGGCACACGAGCGCAAGCATGGGCAGAGTTTTTGGCACAGGAGCCCCAAAAGGTTAGCCATCACTGCCCTATGCTTAAAATTTTGATGCACTACAGAAATTTTGC